TTGGGCGATGAAACATGGGTCTAATCCCCGCCACAGCATAGGCCCCAGGTTTCGCTTCTGAGGCCCTTTGTGCTCGATTCAGGGCTGGTGGAGATTCTGTTGGTAACGGCTGAATGCCGCTGATAACATCATGAACAAGTGCCGGGGGTGGGGCGTGATTTGGCTGAGAACTGCTGGGAAATGTGGTTGGCCCCTGACTTCCAACCACCAGCTCTACAATTTCTTTCTTCTCTTGCTCCCCTTTCTTCGCACCAACATTTCTGTCAATTGCATCAAAGGAGTTTCTGTTTTGCTGCTGTTGTTGTTGACCACTGCCATCATGACTCTGTGTCTTCTTTTTCTTCATGTCCTTTTCCATTTTGCCCTATGCTTCGTGGGCTCGTCCCCGCCCCAAAAAATAGATGATCCCTCTATCGTAGCAAGGGTAGTAGTAGGACACAGCGTGGTTATTATGTAAGGTTACTATCCCGGATAGTACTACATGTACCTGTGTCGATCTACTGGTATGCTACTATCGATAGCTGGTACAGCGTATGGGTTAGAGAGTAGAGAGAACGATGTGTGGGGTGTTGGGGTTTTAGGGAATGACCGAGGCCTCGTGGCCGTCTCACGCAAAGGGCACAATAGACCAATCGATTCGATTGAGTCGAAATGTATGTAATCGAAAGACATCATGAAGTAAGAAGTAATAAGCCATTCAATCAATCGATCGAATGCAAACATCAACTCCCGCATGTTTTCAAATAAATGATCTCACAAAGAGCTGGCACCACGTCATCGGACCAATGGCGTCCAAGTTGCATTGTGATGTCAGACAAACAGTGGGCTTCTTTTAATCAGGTGGGTGCGGTATCATAAGTTTTTGGTATAAATCTTAGGAGTAACTATTACCTTTAACCCTTAATTTACCGCAACTACTCATGTAAATCCTTCTTCAGGTAGGATGAAGTTTCTCAAACTTGCATTTGTTTCTTTCTCGACGAAACTCAGCAGCTAAACCATGAAGATGCCAAGCAATGTCTCTGTTGTTGCCGTCTTGTTGCTATCAGCAGCGCAGATTGATGGCTTCCAGCAGTTCTCTGCGAGGAAAGCAAGCCTCCTTCGTCAGGCACCGAGCTCTTTCAAGCACAGCACGACGGTCTTGACATCCAATCCACAAGACCCCTCGACATCCCACACCACTGCTGCTGCCGATGGAATCCCCGTGATTGTCAATGGCAAGCACACCACCAGTGATGATATGAGCAGCATTGACAAGCCAAAGCAGTCCGTGTGGCAGTCGTCAACAGGAGGCATCAGCAACTATGACATTCGAGGATTCCGTTGTGCATCGTATCTCTTGGTCCAAGCCGCTGGAGTTGGAATTCTCAGTGGCTGGTCCGTTGGCATTTTCAAAATCTTGACGGATACGGTAAAGCACTTGGCATATGCCGGTACCGTCTCGGCCAAAGCGTGGCAACGATTGTTGTGGTTGCCACTCATCCCCGCCATTGGTGGTCTCGTGGTGGCATTGCTGCGTCGACTGGGAGGTGGATTCCCTCCAGGAATGAAGGACACCATCAAAGCAGTGGATCAGCAGCCGGATTATCTTCTTGGCGGCGTGGAAATGCAGCCACAAGAATCTAGCAGCAGCACTGCCTACAATCCCATTTTTCACCAGTTTCGCTTTGTGAAAAAGTCCCTGGCTGCCATTGTCACTCTGGGAACCGGCTGTTCTCTTGGTCCAGAAGGGCCATCGGTAGAGATTGGAATGAACTTGTCCCGTCTAGTCATGGACATTTTCCCAGCTCGTGCCAATACCAACACGACGCCACAGCACCAACGGAGACTCTTGCTGGCATGTGGTGCTGCTGCAGGAGTGTCGGCAGGGTTTAATGCTCCCATTGCAGGCGCCTTTTTTGCGTTGGAAATCATACAACAAGCATTTACATCCATTGATCGACAAAAATCATCGGATGCCAATAATGCTGATACTGATGATGAGATCGCTGACGATGGAGCGGCCAATCCACCACTGACCGCCTCTGGCAGTATTAGTGCGGTGTTGCTCGCGTCTGTCTTGTCGGCACTCGTGTGCCAGTCCTTGCTGGGAGAGCACCTCATGCTGTCTCTCAAAGATTACACCATGGAAACACCTCTCTTGGAACTTCCGCTTTATTTGCTGTTGGGAGCCACTTCAGGATTAGCCGCCTACCTTTTTGGGCAAATCTCAACTGCTAGCAGGGCACTCTTTCAAGGCGAACTGGGCCCAAAGTCGATCCGCAATCGATTTACCAGAATGTCGCCCTTGGCCAAGCCTGCTTTGGGTGGTCTGATTTGCGGTCTGGTCGGACTCGTCTTTCCACAGATCCTCTTTACAGGATACGACACAATCAACATTGTCTTGGCCAATCGAATGCTTCCGACACTGCTGTTGTTGACGCTGTTGGGTGTCAAAATGACCACCACGGCCGTGGCAGCCGGGAGTGGATTGGTAGGAGGAACCTTTGCACCGTCCTTGTTCTTGGGAGGAATGGTCGGTGCTTCCTTTCACAACATTGTCTCGTGGCTGTTGCAGAACGCTGCCAACCATGGGACCATCACCTTGGCAAGTCCCATGATTCAAATGGCAGACTTGCCAGCGTACTCCATGGTTGGCGCCGCCACCGTCTTGGCAGCCGTCTTTCGAGCGCCACTGACGGCGACTCTGCTCCTTTTCGAGCTAACCCGAGATTACGGAGCCATTCTGCCGTTGATGGCCAGTACGGGGGTTGCCTCGCTTGTGGCGGATATCCTCGATGTGAAAGACGAGACACGAAAAACCAATCGACGTAGCCGGCAAACACAAGCATCAGTGGCGGGGGCAGCATCGTAGAGAGCGAGAGAGGGCATGGAGGACCATAAACGATCTCAGAAAGGGGTTGTCGACGAGGAAGCTGCCCGCCAAGCAGCTCCTTTTTCGGGATTGCTCAGCATGTCTGGGCAGGAAATGAAAGCACGTTCGAGCCTCGAGTACCAGCATCTCAGTCGCTTTTTAGGTCACACTGAATGTCACGTCTTGTGGTAGCAACGGTGTCTGGTTTGATCCTTCGGTAAAATAACCTGCCAGTTCTTTTTACGGACTCATTTACGATTAGCCAACACGTTAGACCGCACAAACATCACCGTTGGATCTTGCCTGGGTGATGGACTTTCTGATGAGACCACCGTTGTTTGCTATGGCCAAGTCTGCAGTAACCTGACAATAATGACAATAATGGGCACGTATCGAGACATCAGTCATGCTAAGCCGAAACCGAATGGCGTCGATGGCATTTGCTTGGTTGTAGCGCCTATTTGGGGACTGGCAGACGCGATATTTAACCCTTTCAACTGGTCACGTCTCATTTTTCATTCCCACCACAGTGATCAGCTGTCGATCACACTTGGGCAGCATTGTTTGACCAGTCAAAACAGCCCTGGCAATTTTTGCGAAGCAAACCTGAGGATTTACTTAAATCATACATTGACTCCCACTAAAAGATATTCCAAAGATCTTCCGTAAATGTACTGACCACCTCAGTGAGATGTTTAAACATTTCCAGCTTACGGGCATCAGACAGTTCCGTGATGACCGCAGAAAACGGCCTGAGCTCGAGTTCAGCATCAAGTTGTTCGCAAGGGCTTTTATGGCGTAAACAGCAAGATTGTCTACTGTCACAAATCAGTACATGGTCTCCCGTGGCATCCGAGAAACGATTGTAGAGCATTCCATCCTCATTGTGAACCCCGACTGGCCTTTGGATTGAATGAGGAGCACCTCCGTTCGCTTCGATCTTCTTTCTCTCACATTTTCCAAACACAAAAACCAGCAACACTCGCAACATAGACAACAAGGACAAGCCCACACACGCCAACACCATGAAGGCCAACAGCAAAGCAAACGCCAAGGCAGTCGCCAACACCATCGCCAAGCCCACAGCTCTCGACATCATGATGGGGCGAGGCGGCATGAGCAACAATCACCCAGGAAACAAGCACTATCACACAGTCCTTGAAACCCGCGCCTGGGAGTATTCACAACTCAAGGGGCGCAATGCCAAGACGGACTTGGCATGGGAAGTGTTTCATCAACTCAAGAGAGAAGGTGCGAGGTTCCTAAAGTACGATAAACCAACAGGGGAGTACATCGAAGCTTCAAACGACGATGCCAGAAAAAAGATCAGCCAACGGCTACGTGAGCTTGCCTTGGAGGTGAGGGAACATACATCCAGCGAAGAAGAGGAAGCCGAGGCATTGGACACGCCCATTCCGCTAAAGGCTGATAACTTGAGGGTCCATGAAAACCCATTTGAAGCCGACACCACAATGTCTGATCTCCTCAAATCCTGCTTCCTGGATGACGACGATACAAACAAGAAACCCAGTCCCACCCTCGACACACTTCTAAACTCCAGCCTCCACAGCTATGACTTTCACAACGACCCTTCTCCTTTCTCCTCCTGGGAAGAGATCAACTCTGACTATGCCGTGTGCAGCTCATTGGGCGATCTCTCGGCCTGCGAGTTGTCCACGTTGGCAACCGCACCTCTTCCGCTAACGTTTGACTTCTCCTTTGACTGGCCGAACGACTTCCTCGCAGAACAAGTACCCAGCAACGAACAGCCATTGCGGTACGATCAGGATTTGCGGTTCGGGCGGGTCGCCTCCTTCCCTGGCTCCTTCCATGACCAAGGCGACTACGGCAGGGTCGCCAAGCGACGACGCGAATCCCACTGAACCCACCCCGGGCTTGGCGAAACTCGAGATACACCAAATGCAAACGATACAGCATCCCATAACGAATAAATACATGTACATTTTAGAGCTAAATCAAACCGAAATGATTTCCCTGCAGGCGATGGCTGCCGTATAGCTAGCGCTTTTTCAGTTAGCCATGAATAGTCCAATGCCAACAATTTCGTCGTACTATAGGAGGCGCGGGCGCACATAGTCATTTCCCAACAAAGCTGCGAGCTCCCTTCCAGCTTCCAGGGGAGCTCCATTCCATCCTCCCATGTGCAAGAAGTGGCCTGGCACTACAGCAACCTAAGGCGCCTGGAACTGGCTGAGATAGTAGTGTGCAGCCATGGAAACGTGTCTCTCAATGAACGTATAACTCTTCTCAGGATGACCAAACGTAACGCCGCGGCAATAGAGATCATCACAGAGGCATAACATTCAAGATGCGAAAAGAAACAGCAAAAGCCGACGTACGAGGAGGAATACCCAATCGTCTGTAGCAGCATGTATTATAATGTATGCAGAGTTTTCGTCGTCTTATCTCTACTAGACAGCATTCTGGCGCTGGTCAAGTTCCTTGTTGGCTCAGCCGTAGCCATGGTGGGCAACTTACAACAGGCTGGCTGATTGAATCGTTCTTGCGCTCGTGGGCAGCACAAAGAAAACCACAACGATTGAAGACGGAAGTCAGCGTACAAAAATTGCTTCAGGAAGGGTAAGGAATGATATGAGTGATGCCACGGCAAAAGTGGGCTGATCTTTGTGCTTGCCTTGCGCGGTGCTTTGCTGCCTTGCCTGTCTTCTTAGCGACAAGCCCAGTAACTAGCTGGTGGCATTGGACAGCAGCTACTACTACTGTGCTTGCAGCCCTCGAAGCAACGTGCACCTTATGACAACGCAGCGCTCACAACATTTTACCCCCCCATAGCAATGAGACAGCGTGGTCAATGCTGAAGCGAGAAGCTATCACTCGCCAGCAGCCAAAGGCATTTGCATCTTTGGGGCTCGGGGGGATAAAGCAATGCTACCAGGTAGCAACCATTCCTGCGCAGCAGCAACTGAAGGAGCTGTTCGTTCGTCGACGACATGAACTCTATGTATTCGGAACAGACAGTTTACTCGAAGAGTGCTTCTAGCAAGCTAGATCAGCAACAAACTGGTCCCCTGAAGTGTCAAAAACGATTTCGTTATAAGAAAATTAAATGGACCCAAGGAACAACTCTTCACTTGGTCAACAGTAGCATAGAAACACATAGGCGCCAGTAGATATGGCGGGAAGCAGCAGAAAAATTGATAACTGCCACATCTTGATGATACTGACAACAAATCTACTTTCGGAGTTCGTCATGTCCAAAGTTTTGAACTTCAGCAGGGAGCTCGCGCTCTTCGGGCTCACCAGGAGCCTCGTCAAAGTAACCGTATTCACGGTCATCAGTATCTTCACCCAAACTGGCAAGGTAACGTCGGAGAGACTTCTCAGCTTCCATGACAAACAAGACAAGGACCATGAAACCAACGACAATAGCCCACTGGATACCATCCATTCCTTCCATACTGAAAATAGTCATGTTGAGTCCAGGAGTGTAGGTGATGAAGACCTGGAGGGCTGCCATGATGCCGATAGACCACCAACAGATCGGATTTCCGGTCAAGATACGAGGATGCAAGGAGCTGTTGTAGGCAAATCGGGCGCTGAGGGTGATGGACATGGCACCGAAGGAGAGAGTATTCAAAGCCTGAGCTCGTTGTCTTGGCAACTCGTACTCCTCACTTCCATCTGGATTCTTGAAATCCTTGAGGATGAACACAGAGCCGACGGTAGTAGCGACAAGCGTAACAGTTCCCAAAACAATGCGAAGGAACAAGAAGCGTCCAATCAACCTCTTTCCAAGGCGACGGGGAGGCAAGTTCATGATTCCGTCTTCAGCAGGCTCGACAGCAGTGACAAATCCAAGAGTCACTGCACAGATCAAGTTACAGTAGAGCACTTGGATAGAGGAAAGGGGAGTGTCTTTAAGACCACAGAGCATGCCGAACAGGACAGACATTCCTTGAGCATTATTGATGGGAGTGTTGACAAGAAGCACCTTTCGCAGATCATCCCACACCACACGACCCTCGCGAACAGCAGTAATGATTGTGGCAAAGTTATCATCCGCCAAAATCATATCAGAAGCCTCACGAGCGACATCAGTTCCTTCTTTACCCATAGCAACTCCCATGTTGGCGGCCTTGAGGGCTGGAGCGTCGTTGACACCATCACCTAGAGGAGAACAGAGGCAAGATTTGGTCAGAGAACACTTTTATTTTCGGCAGCACCGACAACAGTCCAAAAGCACTCACCAGTCATTCCGCAAATATCTCCTTGATCTTGCAAGGCCTTGACGATACGAATCTTGTTTTGAGGAGAGGCACGAGCAAAGACATTGTACTTCTTGGTGGCAACCTTCAATTCTTCATCACTCATGGCATCAAGTTCAGGACCAGTGATAGCCTCCGAGTGTTCTTCATCGGTCAAACCAAGTTGTCCTCCAATAGCCAAAGCAGTGTCCCTGTGGTCACCAGTAATCATACAAATACGGACTCCAGCACATTTTGCCTCAGAAACAGCTTGGACACACTCGGGACGAGGGGGGTCCATGATAGCGCAAAGTCCAACCAAAGTAAGCCACTCCCCCTTTTCGCGAACAAAGTCAGCTCCAAGCTGTTGTCCTTCGGTCACAGAGCCCTTGGGGACTTTACCACGGCAAAGAGCAAGCACACGGAGACCATGGGAACTGAGCACAGCAATCTGTTCAATCCAGAATTCTCTTCGGATGGGTTCCTCGCTGGCCTTATCAAGCTTTCCTTCTTTGGCTTGGTACTTGCACATGGCAACCATCCTGTCAGGAGCTCCCTTGACGTGAACCACAAGAGCATCCATGTTATCAGCGCCATCATTTTCGAGAGAAGGTTCGTGCACGGTAGCCATGAACTTGTACTCGGAACTGAACGGAACCTCAGCAATAATGGGAGCAGCAGCCTTCATCTCAGCGACATTGACATCACCAAAGTAACTGGCACGGAGAATGGACAATTCAGTAGGATTTCCAATTTCTCCTTGACGGCTACCTCCTTCACCCAAGACACACTTGGAGCACAAGACACCACCACAAAGAGCTTGACGCAGTTCCGTTGCCGAAGGAGATTCGCCACCGGCGGGCGCGTCAGCGGGAGCATTGGCGTAATCCGGATCATCGGTAGGGTTTCCAGTTCCAGCACCGTGCTCGGTTGCACCAAATCCTTGAGTGACACCAAAGGGGAACGTATTTCCGCGCTTTCCAGTTTGTCCAGCTTGACTTGGACCTCCAGCAATGACGGCACGGGCACGCTTGAACTTGGCATGAGCAGCACGCTCCGCCATGTAGGTTTCGTCGCGGACAAAATTAGTGGGAGTACGATCGGAAGCATTGACGTTGTTTCGGTATCGCTTTCCGGCGGTGACCAAGGCAACGACAGACATGATATTTTGTGTCAAAGTTCCAGTCTTGTCTGAACAAATCACAGTCACGGAACCCAAAGTCTCGACAGCTGGGAGGGCACGGATAATAGCATTGTTCTTGGCCATATTGGACACAGCCCAAGCGTATGTCATGGTGACAATGGCTTCCAATCCTTCAGGAATCATGGCGACAGCGCACACCAAGGAAGTGGAGAGGGCTTCGATGGGATCTTGACCTGACAATTTCCAGGCGGTGAAAAAGGTGGCGACGGCAGTGATGCAGATAAAGACGGCCAACCATGTGGAGACGGTATCAATTTGTTCCAAGACATTGGTCTTTTGTTCCTCGACTTGACTGACCAGTTTGTTGATGGTACCAATTTCCGTTTCGTCTCCAGTGGCAATAATGATACCAATTCCGGATCCTTGGGCGACCAAAGTAGCACTAAAGCACATATTTTTGCGGTCACCGAGAGGGGTTGCCATGGGATCACCTTCGACTTCAATGGCGCTAGTTTGCTTGTCAATGGGGACGGATTCACCGGTCAAGGCAGCTTCGGCAGTGGCGAGCTGTCCCACGGTGGCCATGCGCAAATCAGCAGGGACACGATCTCCCAAACCGAGCATGACGACATCTCCGGGGACCAACAGATTCGCAGGGACCTTGGTTTCCTTGCCGTCGCGAATGACAATGGCATCACTGGAAAGCATATTCTTGAGAGCTTCGGCAGCCTTTTCGGCAGAACCTTCCTGGATGATTCCAATGGCGGTGTTGACACTGTTGCAGCAAAAATCAAAACCAAATTGGAGCAGACACCATGTGAGACAAAGAGACAATCAATTTTTTGTCTAGTAGTGGATTTCCTGCTGTGATTTTTCGCACAAAACACAAAAACGACACGCCAATAAATACTCACGTAATGACAAAGAGAATCAAACCGACTTGAATCCAGTTGGTAAGAATGGTGTCTCCATCAGTGGCAGTGGCAGCACGAATGGCCGAAACCACAGCGACAAAGACCAGGATTCCGACCAACACATTGGCGACTTGTTTCCAGATCCTCTCCAACAGAGTGACCTTGCGCTTTTCGGAAAGCTTGTTTTCACCGTACTGAGCGAGACGATCTTCCGCCTCGGCAGTGGTCAAACCAGACTTGGGAAGTCCATCGTCCTTTCCCAACTCCTTGTAGACCGCAGACAACTCCATGGCGTGCCAAGGAGTGGCGGCCTTGACCTCTTCTTCTTCGGCGTCTTTCTTTCCCATTTTGGCTCTTTTACGAAATGAAACTAAAAAGAAATGAAACTAAAAAGACACAAGATGCTTTGTGTCTGTGATGTGTGATGTGATGCCTTTCCTTCTTCAACGCCAAATGTCCAACAAATCAAACAAGGTCTTGCTTGCTTGGTTTGTCTTTCAATCAACAACTGTCGGAAGAAATGAATTTTATGAGCCGACCTCCTCAAGACTTTTTTTCTTTCTCACTTGATTTGAAAAAAGAAGAAAATGCAAGGTTGGTGAGCCGCATCAAGATGACAATCCAAAAGTGCGCTCGGATCGCCACACGTCGACGGCAGCGTCGAAATTACGGCAGGGTGCGCCCGTTGAATCCTACTGAAACTTGCCCTACTAACTGCACAAGCACAGGAACGGTTACACCAGCCCCGCCCTCTTCGAAATTTTTGATAGCCAGGCTTAAGCAACTTTTATCACCACAACGGAAGTGTTAGCGAAAACAGTTAACTCAATTAGCAGGTCGTTCGTCTATTAAAAATCTTCATTTCTGAAGATCCTTCAAACGATCCACATTTTGCCGCCTAAAATTTTTTTTGCTTTAGCGAAAAGACTGACGTTTGTGCCTGTGGCTGTCTCTGATTGGTCAGGAGTTACTTCGAGAAGTTACCTCCAAGAGGAAACCTCATGTCGATGCGATGAATGGTCAGCAAGACATTGACGCACTCGGAACAGTTTTTTGGATCTGGGACTAGCGTTCCGAACACACTTGCGAGAATTGGGTGGATTGGATCTTTCAGGCTGCACTCCTGCTTGGGAGTGCGCACGAAGCTGCTGATGCTGGATTTTCACAACGAAGGAAAGGACTGCTGCCGATGTGTCCTACGAAACTTTTAGGCCAGGAACACATCTCGCTAGATCTATGATCATGCAGACTTGCTTGTGGATGTTGGAACATGGTTGCGAAAGATGGCGAAGAATAGGATGCTGAATTGGCTTTGACTGTTACAGTGACATTGGTGCTGGTTGGGGGATCAATCAGTTAGATATCTTGCTTTTTGTCAGCCATGGTCGCCGGCTAACCGGGAAGGTCTTGGGTCATCCTTGAAAGTTAGGCAAAGAAGTGGATGGATTGGAAATTGGAAGCAGCAAAGGTAAGTGTTTTGGATTGGAAGTAAAGGTCTTGAAGCGTCAGGATGTCTTGCTTGCATGGGAGGGTGTCAGATTTCCCCTTCCCTAATTGCTAACAAAGAGTTGCAGCAAGCAGTTCGCAGACATCTCGTGCTGCCTTGATGAGAAGTTGGCCGCACAGCCATGGGTTGCCCCTGTTGCCTCAATCCGTTCCTTGGGACTTCCTAGTAGCTTCTCAGGAGTAGCTACTAGAAGAGGGAACTGGCGGATTGGATCTTCATGATTCTTCTTCTTCCAGGTACTTTAGCCACACTTTTCAGCCACAGCTGGTCAAAAAGATCCAATAGATACGGTTCGGTATAACTTGACTGGTTGCTGCAGCCCAGACAACACGACGTAGGACTTTCCTGCAACGCTTCAAATGCAGAGAATTTGACAGCGGTTGCTGCAGATCAGACAGACAACACATCGTAGAACTTTCCCCGTTGCGGTTTCAAGCTCGAACAAGCTCATTCACGCGCGTACCGGTACCGGTAGTGCACCACACACCACACACCTTCGAACTGGCTAGCTAGTCTAATAGCACCTCCCCAGAATCGAATCTTCCACGAGCTTGGTGTCGTGTCAAAAGAGGCAGCATTGGATGCTCCAGGAAGGAACCTGCTGCTGCTTCCGTTATGGTCTCAAAAATCAACTGTTCAGCCCAATCCGTTTCCAGATGCAACTAACTGAAATCCAATCAAGCCAATGATGCACTCCCCACACACTGGTGCATGAGTGGGCAGCTTCCAAACCCAACTGAAATCAAATCAAATCTTTGGTTGCATCCACTTTGCGCATTGCCATGGCTGCTTTCAGGATTCTCAGTTAGCTGCTGACTCATTCATGAGCAGACTGTCCTCTGGATGTTGGCTGTTCTTTGCAGGTGGCAATGGACCGGTACAAGACTGCAGTCTGAAAGCAAATTGTTCTTTACTGACAATAGTTGGATGCGGTTTTCGCCTCACGGACGAAAGAGGTCCGTTCCAACGGCGGACCACGTGCTTTGGGATCCGGTGTTTGTTGTTATCCTGATGTGGGGTCCACTGATGTTGATTGAGCGGTGGGACTTGATGTTTAGCCCGCTATGAGTCCAGGCAGGGTCCAGGAGTAGGCTTGATGCTGCCCATTGTGTTGCCCCAGGAAAAAGGCATGGGGATGACAAATGGTACGTCCAGGAGCAAGTTCGGAGGATGGATCCTGGGGTTGGGCTTGGAGAAGGACCCAAGGTTGGCTGGACCAAGAGTTGAAGTATGACATGCTGGTGGTCCACGATTGGTGCTTGGTGCGGGGGCCGAGATGGACAAAGGGCAGGGGTTGGAGTTGATCGTGGAGTTGGTTCTAGTGGGCTCCCGATACGGGTGGTCCGAGCGTGCTAGGCTAGTGCAGCTTTCTTCATCTTGGCCGTGCACATGAAAACAAAAAATCCCAACTGCGAGAGAGCACACGCTTCCGAACCAAGTAAATGAGCCATGGATTTGTACCGTAAGAGTTGTTGTCTCTGTTTCGTGACCCGTAACTCGATCAATGGTGGGGATGCAATAGTGGCAAACAAGAGTAACCGCTCATCAGCAATTCGCAAAACGAAATTGCCATGCTACGACTTGGAGAGACTTCAAGAGCTCTTCAAGACATCTGCTGCTAGATGCACGCACAATTGAAGATTGACTTGTGACGTTTCGAGTTGTTGAAGTTTGTGTTGGAACCTGGCCATTGCTTTTCTTCGCCGATGTGGTGGCATGGCTCTTTCATAATGTGCCTGGCGAATTGTTCCCGCACAGCTTGAACTGGAAGCGTTTCGTATGTAGCAAATTCGTCGAGCCCCATGGATTGCTCCGTTCGGCGCAGCAAGAACATTTTGGTGGTGTCGCATCGTTGTAGCAATCATCCCGGGTAAGAAGCTCACTGAGGTCTCACAAAAACCTCAACACTCATTCTCAATTCTCGTTTTCAATTTTTTTTACTCGTGCACGAATGCCTTGACATACAGGCTCCCGCTCCAAATCGTTGGTGACTTTGGTGGCTGGCTAGTGGTTGGTATGTGCCACTCGCAGGTGCTGACCTTGCACGAACGCCCACCCCCTTCTGGAGATGCAGCGTCCTGGCTGTGTCATAGAGTATCTTCACAGATAGTTGTGGAAAATGTGGGCTGCAGATTGTTCGTGTGCTCCCTCCGTTCCAAACCAGTTTGAGTATTTCTCATTGTAGCTTGCTATATCAAGCATTTCGCAGGAGCATTTTCCACGATGGCAATCAGCCTGGACAGCTCTTTCCCTCGTCTTCTGCACCAGCTCCTTTAGAAGTGTGCAGGTTTCGGATTCTCACTCATGTTGCCTCACTCGGCTTTCGAACTCACGGGTGTTCGACAACATTCTTTCAGATGCAGCCAGCGGTCTAGCCCCTTTTGACTGTTCATCGTGATCATACGTAGTTTCCGTTTTTTGTCTTGCAGAGGAACAGTTTCCATTGTGACTTGTTGGTTGAACGTGATTCTTCCGTTTTGATTGATCATTCCTGAGCACAGACATGCACAACGACCATTCTTGCTAGGAACTTCTCATGTACCTTCCTCCAATACTGTCTTGTCCTATTTTCATGGGAGCTGCTCGTCGCTCTCTTGGTTCCAAAAGCAAGCAAGTTGAGAAACGTAGACTTGCAGATAGTGGAATTGCCCAGTGTAGCAAGAACGATAGAACGCGAGTCCTTTTCTTCGGTGGCTTCAGACGGTGCAGTAGACGACAAATCTCCACAAACTTTGCCATTTGAAACTGGTCTGACCTTCATAGATGCTACCATGCAGATTCCATATTGCTACCTCAAGGCACATCTCGATGCAAGCAAGATGTGCCCTCGCTATCTGGTTGAATTACGAGAATGTACTTGACAGCAAGGGATAGTTTGCATCACTCTCCCTTTGCGAGAGACTTGCATGGTTGAATGCCGAGATAGTTGCATGCCAACAGTTCTACATGTACGTGCACACACCAGTAGCTTCCCTTCCATCCTCCTGAAAGAAAGAGCACTCCCAGCTAGCTAGGTGTCAACTCTATACATCGCATCTCATCCTACATGTACTAATGGCTCAGGGTGTCTCTCATTGTGACTTCAACAACACCTCCAGAATAAATGATGGTTGGCCAAGCGACTCAAGGCACTTCTTCGAACACGATAATAGTACGTTGCCCGCGACATTTGTAAGGCCACGGATATTCGACCGCAGTTGCTGCGGGCCATCGGAAATCGGAACAAGGTTACATTTATTTTACGAAAAGGGCTACTACCGCAGGACCTGGAGGACGACCACGACGCTATGTTGTACAGAGCTGCAGCTAGTCCCATGATGACATTCGATTGTTCCATTTTAGTGTGACGCCTTGAGTATTTGGTATTATTTGGTGGCAATTTTCTGTTTCTTTTTAGGGGGAGCCTTCTTCCCTTGGGGAGCCTTCTTCCCTTTCTTCTTTGGCGGCTCAACCCACTTTTCGCCCTCCTTCTGATGCTCGGCACCCGCGTACTTCTTACCTTCCTCCTTTTCATAACATTTCGGGCAAATATCTTGCTCGCCCTCCTCTAAGAAGTACGATTCTGCAAAGCAGTCGCCATCACAGACATCGCACGTAATCGCCGGTGTTGCATCTCCTTCGTCGTCGTCGTCGTCGTCATCGTCGCCATCTTTCACTACCGTATAGTATTTCTTCATCCGCTTCGTAATGTTCCACTTGCACTTGAAACCCTTGTGAAATGTCACTTGATCCCCTTTACCGATGACGACTGGCGGAGAACCATCATCGGGAGTGAGTTCAGCACTGCCGTCGAGGATGAGAACTTGCTCTTCTGCGGTGTAGTTGTAGGGAAATTTTTTCTTGTTTTTAGAATCCCATTTGGTCCATGTTTTGGCTTCCACTTTGTATTCGTCTGTTACCTTGTCGGGAGGGGTGACTGTGATGAGCTTGTCCATTGTATTATGATATTCTGCTGTTTGGCGAGAGCATATTCGATGATCTTTTCTACTAGCTAGCTAGTTAATTCGCTAGCTAGCTACAGTAATTATTAATAGAGCAGTCAACACTGAGTTGTGCAAAACGCGTGGAAAATAAATACTTAAGGAAAGACGTTAACCCAAACCATGATACCCAAACCAAATGATGTCAGCGCGTAGAACGTGAGTCCCATGTGGCACTCAGTTGAGTCTTTACAAGACTAAATGAATGGGTTTTTGGGTACCCTGGTACCAGGTACCAGTATTGTATGCTCTTATTATCCATGTTCACTGCTTCTTAGTATGTAGTTTGAGGGGAGGGGGGTGGATGCACGTCAGAGGGCCGTTCCAATTGCGGTGTTTTTGTGGTTCTTGTGTTTGAAAATAAACAATAAGTTTTGCACCGTTGGACTGAAATTCCAATATTTTTTGAGCAGTGTCGGGTCGCTAGGAATAACTCCACAAATCTCTGAGTCATACATGTAAGCCAGCGGAGCTGTGTAACCTCGGCAGAAAGGTTTCAGTATAGAAGCAGATACCCCTATTAGCCAGCTAAAAGCTTTTCAGTGTTATTTGCTAGTAATACTGCAGCTTATTGGGGAGTAATTTGGTTTTAGATTAAGCTGAAAAGCAAAAGTGAGGATTTTCTGGTGGTGCATAGCAATTCTTGTGATTGAATTGGATATAAGGACCCCGCAACACTTTAGACCTAAAACTCCCTTGGTTCCTTGCATGATCAATTTACATGCGAACCCGGACTAGATGATTAATACACGAGTCAATAGTAAAGAGGTGTCAGGTATGTTTCTACCAACACACTCCTGCACGGTGCCCTAAGTGGTAACCGGGAACAAATAAGATAAATTAGGCAATCAAACAAGGGGGTGATGCCCCATGATGAAAGCCCGTTCTCGTGAAAGAGCTTGCCCTGAAGGGGCTTCGTGAAAAAAATCTCCACGCATTTCTCAAGGTTGGGCAGTACACAACTCTAAGGTTGCTTTTCCATTTGGTCATGATAAAAAAGAAACGAATGTTGATAGGCCCGAGTCTCTTTTCCGAACTGCCTTTGCCATTCTCTGCAAGAATGATCGTGCTTTTGTTGTCCTGCATGAGGAGTGTCCTTTCACAACGATCCCCTGCTCTCAAGGAACAACTTTGCCCACAACATGGGCGACATGACATCTCAGCTCCAATCAATTCCTCTTCCGTGCTGCTCTCGAATTCAATTCTGTTTCGCAGACACAGACAGCCACGCACCACTTCCAAAGGAAATGACTCCTCCTGTATGGAAACGGTAATCAGGATGGACTGCAAATGATGCGTCCACCCCCCAAGTGATGATGCGTATGCCA